ACTCACTCACTCACTCATTTACTGACTCACTCACTCACTCACTCTCTCATTCACTCACTAACTCACTCATTCACTGACTCTCACTCTCACTCTCTAACTCATTCTCATTCACTCACTCACTCTCATTCACTGACTCACTCACACTCACTCTCATTCACTGACTCACTCTCTCTCACTCATTGACTCACTCACTCTCTCACTCTAATTCACTCACTCTCATTCACTCACTCTCATTCACTGACTCACTCACTTTCTCACTCTCACACTCACTCACTCACTCTCATTCACTGACTCCCTCACTCACTCTCACTCACTCTTTCACTCTAATTCACTCACTCACTCATTCACTCTAATTCTCTCACTCTAATTCACTCACTCACTCTTATTCACTCACTCACTCACTCATTCACTGACTCCCTCACTCTCACTCACTCACTCTCTCACTCTAATTCACTCACTCACTCATTCACTCACTCACTCATTCATTCACTGACTCACTCACTCACTCTCTCACTCACTCACTCACTCTCATTCACTGACTCACTCACTCACTCACTAAAAAATTAAAAAAAGGAGGAAAAAAAAGAAAAGCAAGTTAAACCCACAATAAGATATCACTAGACTAGTATTTTTGGAGCTCAGGTAGCACAGTTGTTTAGGGCTTGGCTGCCATCGGAAAGGACAGCAGTTGGGACCCTCCTGTATTTCTGTGGGAGCAAAGACCTAGTGGTCGGTTCCAGTCAAGGTTATTCGCTAGGAAACCCTGTGGGAAGTTCTGTCATATTGTATCATGATGAGTCACAATAAACGTTACACAAGTGTTGAAACAGCTGGAACTAGCATTTCCGTTCAGAAACCTTTATGAGACCTGCTAGGCACAGTGGGACAGTCCATAGGGAACAAAGAAGAAAGTGAGATACAGAGATAACTTAAGCATGAACTTGAGCTAGACCACATGATATCAAATTCCAATATTGCTATTTAATAAATGTGTGACTTTAGGGAAGATAAACTGTTTTTGTTCATTCCATTTAAAATTGGCATAAAAATAGTTCTTCTGTAGAGTTATTATGAGTACTAAATGAAATAAAGTGTGTTCAATGTATAGACTAATGCTTGAAACATTGCACTGTATGTGTTCATTTTTATTGTACATTCTCACAAAAATCTTATGAGTTAATTATAGTTAGTATCCCTTTTTATGTAGATGAGAAAACACACAAAAAGATGGACTTGACTAAGAACATAAAGTAAGAAATGGAATAAGCCAAAGTCAGTATCATGAGATTGCCTTTCAAATAGTGGATTGGGGGTGGAAGGGTGAAATATAAGAAGGGAATGGAGCAGTAAAGAGGTAGCAAAGGGCCTTGGGCATGTGAGACTTTTTACTTTTTCTCCCTAACTTTTGTGATTTGGGTGAATGTTTATGGATCAAATCCATTTTCCATTCAACATTTCGTGCACCTTTTGTGACATGGATTGCCGTTCCCAATGTCACAGTAATCTTCCACCTCCTTGGTGCTGGGCCTGAAGCTAAGAGGAGCCACAGCCTCGGGTTCCTCCAGTCTCTATGTGTAAGCTGGGACATCTTGTCTTCTTCTGAGTGTGAACTACACAAGTTTCTTTCACTCTATCCGGGACCTCGTAGGATCCCTTTCAGAGCAGTTGGCAGTGTCAGCTGGGCACCATCTGGTTTTTCGGTGATGGAGGTGGGGGTCCAGTGGTTCATTAGTCCACTGTAGCTTTGACTTTGTTTCTTTTCCTTGGCTCTGCACAGGGAGAGACCATTAGTTGCACCTTGCATGCGCACTTAAAAGCTGTCAAGACCCCCTGTCACTACTCTCCATAGTAGGATTGTCTCTGTGGACTACGTTATGCCAAATGGCCTTGGTGTCCCCAGACCTGGCAACCCATTCCCTCATGGTGTTTGCTTGTGGCCAGGGAGTTCTCATAACTTTCCCCCTCCTGTGTTCTGTATTTGTGGATATACACTTAACCATTGGATAACAATTGGTTTGAATTCTCTGGGGTCACTTTTGCTCAGGCTTTTCCCCCTTGGCTGCTAGTGCGGTAAGCTCACGAGTGTTGTGTGTTATCTGTTTGAAATGCCATGTGATGGGAACTGTAGGCCTCCTGTTGAAAATCTGCATGTCCACTCTAGATAGAGAGGCAGAATGTACAGTTTAATAAGATCCCCAGGTGATTCTTGTGGAATCTCAAGTGATTCTTATGTATACATGCTCAAATGAGCTAATCATGTCCCAGGGATCAGTTCCTCTGGCCTGCCAGCAGTCACTGGAAAGGCAAACTGCCTACCCCAGGCAGAGATAATTAGCATCATACAGTGTTTTAAGGAGATAAGCCAGTGTTTTTGATCAGGCGCAGCAGAAGCAGATACCTACACTTTATGCTGGATTATGGTATGAGCTCTAGTACAAATTACTTTCATTGCCAGAGGGTGCAGAATTTTTTTCCCCCCTGGGGTGGGGTGGGGGGGAGGAACAATAGGCCAAATAAGTTAGGGAACCTATGGAATAAATTCATAGGACTCATGGGACTATCAGCAAGAAGAAAATTCCATGTAATTCAAAGGTCAACTGTAAATTATACTCCAGTGTTCCACTGTGAGGGAGGTTGGCACCCCTCAAAGGTCAACTGTATTACTTTCGATAAAGACTGGCATCATATACTTGAGTAGCGGTCTCTCAGTGTCTGTTTACTGTTTGTACTGTCCATTAAAAGACAAGGGAGTTCTTGAAGCACTCTCTGGTTACCACTCAACTCACTGCCGTGAAGTCAATGTCTACTCGTGATGACCCTATAGGACAGGACAGAACTGTCCCTGTCTTAGTATGGGTGACTAGAGAAACAAATTCATTGACACTCGTGTACAAGAGAGAATATTATATCAAGGCGTAATTATGCATCAATAAAACACCCCAGCCCAGTCTAGATCAAGTCCATAAGTTCAATATTAGCCCATAAGTCTAATATTAGCCCATGAATTCCAATTTAGACTCACACAGTCGCATATAATGATACCGAATGCAGGAAGATCACAAGCCAGTGGGTGGAAAGAAAGCCGTGTGGATCCAATGGTGGTGGACACATTTCCAGGGCTCTGGCTGCCATCAGCGTGGCTCCATGTGGCTTGTCAACAGGAAGGTGGAGCAGAGAGTGTCTTCCTCCAGAGAGGAAGAGAAAAAACTCCCAGAATTCTCATAAGGCCACACCCACAAGGAGGCATCAATCGGGCTGTGACCTGATTGAATGGCTAGACTCCACTCCTATAACCCATGTATCAAGTTGACATGAAATTAGGTAACTACCATAGCCCTGTGGGTTCCCAAGACTAGCAGTTTACAGGAGTAAAAAGCCTCATCTTTTTCCCATGGAATGGCTTTTGCAAAAAATCCAATCGATAAGATCACGTTAAAAACCAGTCAGAATTTGATGCCTATCTTTCCATGTTCATTTCTTACCATTCATGCACCCCCCTTTTAACTTTTCTCCTTCCCCATTCTCATTCCAGTCATGTCACACCTCTACTTGTCCATTTATTTATTCATTCATTCATTTATTTACCAGATCCACTGCCATCCAGTCAGTGCTTTCTCACAGAGGCGCCCTGTGAGTTTCCAAGACTAGCTGTCTGAGGGAGAGAAAGCCCAGTCTTTGTCCTGCTGAGCTGCTGGTCGCTTCAAACTGCCCCCGTGCGGCTCATGGCCCGTGCATAACCTTTGCTCCACCAGGCTTCTCTGCCTCTACTTGTCCCTATAATGCACAGTGCTGGACCCTGTGTTCCTTACCTGAGCTCTAGCAGCTTCCATCCCAAACCTAAAACATACGAGGGGGTACCAGAATTTTTTCTCAAAGCTATGTATTAATTTTTTTTTACAAAACAACCTTATCACCTTCAAAGTACACGCCATGACACTTAATACATTTGTCAAATCTGCAATTTCATTCTTGGAAACATTTTCAACCTCTGTTTGGATGGCTGACAGCGCCTCCATTAGTTTCTTCCTTCGCTGCTTCTATGTCATTAAATCACTGCCCTTTCATGTCCCTCTTCACTCACGGAAACAAAAGGAAGTCGCATGGAGCGAGGTTGGCTGAGTAAGGTACATGGAGCAAGAGGCTTGCTGTTTTTTGCCAAAAACTGACACACTGAGATGGCTGCATTATTGTGGCAAAACCAGTTGCCTGTCTGTCACAAATCAGGTTTTTTTTGTCGCACACTGTTATGTAATCCTTTCAGAACCTCTAAATAGAAAGCTTGATTAACCGTCTGACCTGGTGGAACGAACTTCAAATGTACTAGGAGTCGACATCTTCATCTCTTTGGGAAGTTGGTGGATGTCCAGAATGAGGTCTGTCTGTTATCCATCGACATTTCACCTTTTTTGAAATGAGAAAACCACTTGTACACTTGAGTTTTTCCCATAGCCTCTGTCCTTGTAGTCTGTTCAACATCACTATAGTGTCTAGTATTTTTCCCTGAACAGGAAACAGAATTTCACAGCCAGACCTTATTCTCTTAAATCGGTCATCGCAAAAAACGAGGTTCAAGCAAAACTGCTTTTCCAGAAAAAGTTACTGTGACTCAAGAGAACCTTCCCAGGCAACACCACTGGGTTCACTAACTCAGCCGGAGGGCCGCTGAGCAGGAAAATGTGCATACAAAAGCTCTGCCTAGCAGAACGTTTTTTCTGTTTGTTTTTTTGGTAGCCCCTCGTAAGCCTGGATTAGAGTGGTTTTATTTACCTCCTTCTTTGTTTAGACTAAACTTCTTGAGGTTAGTGACTATATCTTATCCTTCTTTCGCTGTAGCCCCTGCACAGGCAGAGCTCATAAAGGTTTAGTAAATGAGTAGAAGCTGGCATTTCCAAGGGAAGTCTGTGTGGAGCTCTGCCTTGAGCCAAGCTGCAGAGACCATCCAGCCATTACTTCCCACTTGGCAGGACATAACTGAATGAGATCTGTGGTGTCTCTTTTAGGGAACAGACGACTTTGTGCGTATCCATCCTGGAGCGATTGCTCCAAGCTGTGGAGCCAGTGCAAGTGGCCCGGAACCTCCGAGTTGACCTGCAGAGAGGGCTGACTCACCCTGATGACTCCGTAAAGACCCTCACTTTGTCCCAGGTGTGATACTTTAATGCTGTATGTAAAAAGGGACCTTACATTTAGTGACTGCCTGCTTTGGGCTGGGGGACAAAAACAATTCTCAGCAGTCCCCAAGGAAGCTCCTAGCCACATAGCTAACTAGAACCAGGAGAACATGAGCTAACAAGAAATGTCCCAAATGCCGTCCGAATCATTCATTCACCAACAAAGCTCACTTTATAAGCCAGCCATTTTTGCCATATGCTATTGGCGCTACCAAATCTATTTCTTCCCGATGAAAAAGTTCTCCTGTGTCCAGACAGCTCTGCTCTGCATGTTGGTCCTGTCATAGGTGGTGGGGTCTAAGTACTACCTTAAAGGACAAGAAACCAGCAAATTAAGATGCTAACTTTTACCTTGGTAAGTAGACCATCTACGATTTGAGTGAAGATATGCTACTAGGGGTTATCTTGGGGAATTGTCAGGCGCTTAGAGAGGTTAGTTATCCAGGAGCTACCCAACTCCTGAGTGTCCCTTTCTCCTTCAACATGTTCAACAAGAAGGGAACAGGCATTCATTTAATCATTGAACGCTTTTGTGCAGGCAATGTCATAGGCTCTTTGTCTACATAATGTCTGCCAGGGAGTCGGTTCGGACTCATGAGGGCTCTGTGTAGATTTTCTGGGGCTGTAAATCATTACCAGTGCAGACAACCTCGTCTTCCTTCCGAGGAGCCCCTATTGGGATTGAAAAGCCAACCTTACAGTTAGCAGCCCAACACTTAGCCAACAGCATCATCTATTTACCTATTCATACTCATTGTATCTTCATATCCAGCCCACATTCAAATATTATATTGCAGTTTTATAGATCAGAAAGCAGAATGTATATATATATATATTTTTTTTTTTTCCTTTTTCCTCTCTTCTTTAAAGATGTGACTGTACCATACGTGTGACTTGACTAATGAAGCGAGGCCATTCTAAATATTTATGACTCGCCTTCCAGCAGTAGTCCGGGGGAATGTGATCACCATGAGATGTGTGCTGTCCTGCCTTAAAAAGCCTTTCTGATTCTCTTCTGTTTTGTTTGCTTGTTGCAGGTTGGAAGAATTGTTGAAAATTCTGATGCCGTTACTGAGATTCTAAATAATTCTGAATTGCTAAGACAAATTGTTTATTGTATCGGTGGAGAAAATCTTTCTGTAGTTAAAGCGGTAAGTGTGTAGCACCATCTTGAACTTGGAGGTAAAGGTCTGGTGGTGGTGGTGGTAGGTGCCAGCAAGTCAGTTCCAACTTCTCAGGACTCTGTACAACATCAAAAAGCACTGCCTGCCTGTGCCAAAACCACAACGATTGCCCTCTCCACACAATCCATGTCTCGGCTTAGACGAGTGAGTGCTTCCAGCACAGCAACTGTTTGGTGAACCATTTCAGTTGACATTCTGTCAGTTCTTGTAGCTTTGTGGTTTTTGGTTTTTAGGGTGTTTTGGGTTTTTTTGCTGTGCCTTCAATTGGGAACTGTAATTTTCTTCAGCTTCAACATAATCTTGCATATGAGCGATTTGGTCTGCAGTTGTCTCCTGGCCTTGTTCTGATTGATGATAATGAGCTTCTCCTTTGTGCCTTTCCACAGATGTAGTCAATTTGATTCCTGTGTGCTTTATCTGGGCAGCCCAGGTGTATAGTTAGCATTTTTTGTTCAACAGGGTTTTCTAACTAACAAGTCGTTGGTCTTGCAAAATCCTATCATGCAACTTTCTGGAAGTGTTTCTGTGGCCAACGTCTTATTTTCCAATTGCTCATCTTTCTGTTTCCAACTTTTCCATTCCAGTCACCAGTAACTATCGATATATCTTGAGTACATGTGTGATCAATTTCATGCTGCAAAAATGGGTAAGGATCTTGTGTTTCTTCTTTTTGCCATTAGTGGTCGATGTGTAAATTTGAGGAGTGGCAGTATGTGAGGTACCGTTGAGTCCGGCTCTTATCTCCCAATGCGAACGCGCGCTAGAGGGCATGAGCTGCAACCAGCACGCTGAGAGAGATGCAAAGGGTGACCAGAGTTGGAGCATGGGGTCCCTGAAGCATACACCCTTGAGCTTTATTCGAGGCAGATTTAAATTCCCTTCCGGCATGTATCCTGCAACACGTGACAGGTTTACGCAAAGGGACAGTTTTACAATTATTTGAGTGTGTACAAAGAAGCATTCCTACATTAGACAAGCTGTTCAGGCAGGTGGGGAGGACCAGGTTGAGAACATGAAATAACTGATAGGTTTGCAGACTGTTGCTTCTGCAGCCTCTCTAGGGAACATGAGACAAAGTGTCCTTCTTATCTCAGGCAGAGAGACAGGCCAGCTGCTGCTTTATCAGCTCCTGAGGTTCAGCCATCAGCATTTCCCACGGGTCTTGAACCATGGATGATGGTCCTCCTGTCCCATTTGCCTAAGCAGCAACTTAGCGCGCCCAGTAGTATGAACTGGTGTGCTTTGTAGGCATGTGCATATTATCCTGTTAGGGACAGTGTTGTGCTTCAGCACACAACTTCTCTGGCAATGAGTGGGACAGTACTTCTCTTCAGTTTGCGATTCTTGGCATAGTAGACCGTATGATTGATTTAGAATGGCTAATACCAGTCCATTTCAGCCCATTAGTGCTTGTGGCGTCCATCTCTAAATGTTTCATTTTATTTTTTGCTAACTCAGTTTTCTTTATACATTCTCCATTTTGGTTTTTAATGAGCATTTCCAGCTGTTTCTTCTCCTTTTGAGTCATGCCACATCCACAAATGAAGGCCCAACAGCTTAAGTCCAACCACTTCCTTAAGGTCAATGTACTCTGAGAAATCTGCTCCCCCTGCCGTCATGTTTTAAGTGCCTGCCAACCGAGTGGTCCTTTCTTTGTCATTATATCGCACCACAATGTGCTGCGACTTTAATGTTTTCACGGGCCAGTTTGTCCTTTAGAACTAGGTCACCATGTCCTTTTTCCTAGTCTGCTGTAGCCTGGAAGTTCAGGAAACCCTGAAACCTGTCCATCCTGGGTCGCTCTGCTTGTATTTGATGGCACAGCTTCCAGGATCACAGCAACATGCAAGCCACCACAGTGTGACAAACCGGCAGACAAGTAGAGGTCTCGAATGGTGTGTTTGTGTCATTGAATTTGCACCCTCACGTAGATGGTGGTGGTAGTGTTTGGTGAGTTCTGACTTAACAGTGACCCTATGTACAACAGAGAGAAGCAGTTGCACTCGATTGCCATGTTTGAGCCCATTGTTACAGCCACTGTCAATCAATCTTGTTAAGGGTTTTCCTCGTTTTCACCGCCCTTCTACGTTACCAAGCATGCTGCCCTTTTCCAGGGACTGGTTTCTTCTGATAACTTGTCCAGAGGATGTGAGAGAAAGTCTCGCTATCCTTGCATCGAAGGGAAATTTTGACAACTTCTTCCAAGTGAGATTTGTTTGTTCTTCTGGTCATCATAGCACTGTCAGTATTCTTCACCTGCACCATCACTCAAATGCATCAGTTCTTCCCCCTCTTCCTTATTCAACGTGCAACTTTCAAATGCATTTGAGGCACGCTTTAGTTAATTGCAGTGTGAGTTGTTTGATTTCGTGACTGCTCCTCCCTTGAACATCGATTATAGATGTTGTCGGTGCTGATCTTCTCTAGTGAGCCTCTCCTCTTCTCTAGGCTACACTTCCCACATCATCCATCACAGGGCTTACATTGGCTTCCTTGATTAGAACCAACCTAGGCAAACAATTTTCTACTTGAAATACTGTGTATCTTTCCAGTTTAAATAGTGTTAGTGAAAGACTAATGTAATAGCTAATGACTAAAGAGATATTTTCTTTCCTTATAAGGCCATCA